AGCCTTTATTTGAGTTTCATAGATTTGTGTTGATTTGCTTTGTGTTTTCATTGATGTTTAATTCCCCAGGGAACTGGTTCTGAAGCTGGGCTCATTTGTATTTACTATTGATATAATGCCGTCCCAGTAAGTGTAAATGGCACTGTAGAGGAGTTAAAACAGCAGGTCTTTGCTCTAGAAAGCTTAAAAATAACAAGCTAGCTCCACTTTACTGCACTGACTTGATGGGGTCAGATTTTGGCCTTAGATTAGACAAAACATAGTTCAGAACAAATAAATGTACAGAAAGGACTGAAGCAGTTCCCAGTCACCTTTCAAATTCCTATCTGCTTAGTAGAAGACTTCTTATTCTAGGTTAGTACGCAACATAACATAAAGCTTGGTCTTTGCCTGTTATTTATTTTTAGCGGATGATGGGAAAAGTGAGACTACCAGACATCATGCAACCTAACAACACAAATAAGCCCCTGAGTAAACCAAAACTGGCAAACAAACAGCCCATGTACAGCAGAAACAAATTCTTCAGGAAAACGCAGGTTTTTAAGGACAGGGTTTTTAACACCCTGAACTCACAGGCATATTCATTTATTGTGGGTTAGGGAATTTTGCAGAAAGTATCCGGCATAGCCTATTAATGGCCTTGGAACAAGCAGCCTTGTACTAGAGACATCATAAAGCCAGACAGCAGAAGCTCAGATGATTTATAATTTCACAGCCACAGGTAAAATCAAATTTCGTGAATATAAATCACTGGGGGTTTTATTTATTATTATTTCTAATAACATTTATTAGAAATAATGTTCCCTATTAAAGGATAATGACATTCACAGACTGCCACATGGATGAAGGTACAAATCTTTTCAAAACCACTCATGCAAAACCTGCACAAGTTCAGTGATGGTTAATGGTTCAGGAGGATCCCTAAAGGAGCATGCCAGAATCATCCTGCACTATGAGGGCTGCGACTACAGAAAATCCATGTTCCCTTTGTTCTTTCAGGTCCCAATTCCCATGTCAAGTCATGTTGTACTCAGGGCAGGATCTGAGAGTTGAAGTCAGTAAGTCACCCTTTTGTTTGACTTTTTATTTTCAGGCTGCTGTGAAAAGGTGGTTTGGATATGGTTCAGACTGTCTTTTGCTAAAACTTTCAATAATGGTGGAACAGCCTCACTAGAAATATCACAAGTTTTTTATAAGTATTATTAGGTGCCAAGGGATCAGAATTTTAGCCATAAAAATATTTGATGTCTGAACTGAGATTTTTCCCCAAGCTGTTGCACAAGGGATGGCCTTTACAAGGGGAGAAGCAATTTAAGACATTAAAATGTCATTTTAGTTGTCAGACATTTCTGTCTGGCCCTCTATGCAATACACCATTTGCACTTCCCATATTATAATAAAAATTATGTATATTGAGGTATTTAACAGGCAATCGTATAGGAGAAAATATTTACTGCAGTAGCAGACTGGCAGCTTTCTCAGCAAGTTTCACAGACACAGAAATGGAGAAGAATGAGAGAGCTTTTTGCTTTCATGTAAAAGGTCATCAAATGCAAAGCTGGGAGTTTATTCAGCATCACCCTTTGTCCCTGAAACCTCCACATCCCAAACCAGGAGTTACTGACGACACAGCTGATAAAATGTCAGCCAGGGACTCCCGCATAGCATGGCCAGGCAGAAACAAGAGTGAGACACACACACCATCAGCTGGAATCTGGGCAGGGGACAGACTGAGAACTCTCAAAGTTTACAGATTAAAAATATGACAAGATTTCATTGTCGCTCCATCCCATCAGAGCAAGCAGTTCTAAATTTGGCCACCAAGCTTTGCCTCAGCCACTTTGTCCATGCTGACCTGTTTTCCATGATTTGCCTGCTGTCCAACTCCCTGCTCACACAGACAAGTCCTGCAAGACAGACTTTTGCTTTCCCTGACCTAATCAGCAGAAATTCTCTGGCTATGACTAAGCCTTCTATTTCACATGCAGGAAACACATCTCCCATATCCTTACAGCTTCCTCTGCATTTGTGCAGGTCTTTTCCATTACAGGCAAGCATTTCTTGCAATAAGAACTCAGATGAGGAACAAATAACACTGCATGCATGATGCTGGTTTTGGCATTTGGTAACCAAGGAGAGTTGTTAGCACACTCTGTATGTATTTTGTGCTTTCAGAGTCAAATGAGATGCTTTTGTGTGCCTGATCCTTCATACAAGCAAAGCGCAGGACGGTGTAACCAGGCAGTGCTGTAATTCCCAGGGCCCAGATTGCATATCTGGGGACTTCTGCACCTTTTCTGGAATTCAAATGCAAATCTAAGTTGTAGACTTCGCTCCTAACTTCCCACCAGGCCACAGTAAAACCCCAGATCTAAGCAACACAAAACTTTAGTGCATTCAGGTATGCTTCATCCATCCTGGCACTACAGAATTAGCACAACATGATTCACTATTTCTGAGCAAGGCTTCAGAAGATTTGCTCATGCATGGCACTCCAGGCTGAACTTCATCCCAGGCCTGCCCAAAACAGGAGCAAGTGGAGGGCTAAAGGACTCCGATGCTTGAGCACACCTGCATCTTGCTGGTGTCTGCTTGTGGCTTGAGGAGGACGGGGTCTGAGGATGGCCACAAGCTGCCATCTGCGTCACTGTGAAGCTGAGCACAGAGCTGCGTGGCAGAAAAGCCTCCAGGAGCCATAGCAGCTCTTGAATCAGATGAAACCTTCCCTGGGGAGTGGGCTTACTGCCCTGCCTCCACTAAGCTAAAGCCGAAGCGCAGCCCTGCACCTTAAGAGATTCATTGGTGAGCTACACAGAATTCGATTTCTGTTGGATCTTACTGTGTTAAAGCAATCCCGAATGACCTGAAATTTTTCAAACATTGATTTCTCCTTAACTTTCAAACAGCTAAAGAAATTAGAAAGATGATATGATATGATATTCCAAGTGAAGTGAAACAGCAGACAGAACATACTAAGAACATCTTTCCTCCTCTGCACTAGTGGAATTTGGATCATTCCTGCAAATCGTGCAGAGTCAATTAGATATGCAAACATGCATACTCAAAATTTGCATTTGCATTGCCATGCTTCTATTCATAGCCATGGCAATCATGTATTCTGATGACCAGTTAGATTTTGAATTGGCTCATTGTGCATAAAATCTCAGAAGCTAGCACAGAAAATGAAGCATACATTTCTGTGTATGTAGACCTGGGCATGCAATTCCAAAAGTCTGTGTCTGTATGACCTGCGAGTGTCTGTGTGTCTGACTAGCTGGTAAGGCTCGGTATGTCTCTGCCATCTACATCCATGCTTGCTTTACCTATAAGCCTACAATCTGAATTGCAGGAACATTTAGGATTTTGTGAAGGCGCAGGGAAAGCATCTCTGGTGCAACCATGTGTATCGCATTTCCAGCATGCAAAATCTTCTATCTGCAATGGCAAACACAGTAGCCTGCAGGCTGAGGCTACAAAAATTTAGTGTGTTTTGCAATTCCCATTAATTAGTTTGCAGCCTTTTCTTTGAATGTTTACTGTGAAGTCTAGGGACATTTGTATTTCTTATATCTGTATGTCCAGACAACACAAATTTTTTTAAAATGCCCACTGTTTGGTTACATTTCACTTCAGTCTAGAAATGCAGAGAGCTCATGTTTAGGTTTTATCAAGAAAAGAGATAGCAAATGTCAAACAAAGATAGTACCTGAAAGGAAATAAAACAAATAATTCAAAATACTTGTTTAAAAAGTTACAAAATATGACAGCATTAATGGCACTTAAAGCTATAAGCACTTAAAAGATTACCACCATATTTTTCTCAACTTCTTTTCCTAAATTTCTTCCTTCTTTTTTTTTTTTTTTTTTTTCTGAGATTATGACTGTGGCTTATGTCTAAACCAAACGCAGCAAAAGGGGCAGAGAGCCCTGAGATTCTGTGGTTGCCCTGGCCCTCATTTGAATAGTGTATATGCTCTTATGTCTATTTTTAAAAATTCAGATTCAGCTACAGAGAACAGCAGTTTGCTGACATGCAAAAGCTATAGCTTTCCTTCTGTCTTCATAGTCTTACAGCATTAAAATTGAAGGGTTTTTTTCAGTGGTAGAAAGTGTGAATGAGAAATTCTTTTAAAAAAAACAGTTGGCCCACTGTTTTATACACCTTGCCAGATATCATTAATGTTTCTCCTCTTTTAAACAACATAGCACAAGATGTTGCATTTTCTTCATATGCACTTTCTTGTTGTGACTTTACATTGAATATTTCCTACACAAGAAAAAAAATCCATTTGTTTCTTTTCCTTTTTTTTGTCACTGGTTGAGATAAATACCCACAGAGTTTGGGGTTTTTTTGTTTTTTGTTTTTTTTTTTTTTTTAATGAAAAGAGCAATCCGACCCTTAAATATGTCTCTGTTGATTCTTCAAACCAGCACCCAGCTGGTGGCTGTGTCCATGGACATTCTTTTGGAGTTTAGAAAGATAATGCATCTGATTCAAAAATGAAAAAAAAAAATCTAGCTTGGATCACGTGCCAAAACGTAAACTAAGCCTTACTGAAAGTTTCTAGTTCACTCCAATAATTTCTCCTCTTTTTAATCACCAGGGGAAGGCTTTATGGATGCATACACCATTACAAAGATGCACTCTTTTTCATCCCTTTCAAAGGCTCTTCTTACATAGCTGCCCTTTGTCTAATATTATGCCATGGTAGGAGCACTCTGGTGATATTGCCATGGTTCAATCTCTTCCTTTGTGTCTTGCCCTGGTAATCTTATACAGGCTGAAATTTCCATGTGTGTAGCTTTCTGTTGCCATTCTGCAGTGCTGTGTTCCTGATTTGTTTTGGCAGAGCAAGCTCGAGTCTTTATGGCACAGTGAAATATTCTTCGATGCTATATAATTCAGACTGAATAAGGAGTCTGTATAAGGCACGTGTCTCAATATATATATGTGTATAAAAACACTAACATTGTTAATTCAAGTCAAGCATCTTTTACATTTAATTTCTGTCTTCAAGTAACGCTTTGTTTTCATGTTCCCTTTCTTTGGTTTCATTGGGGATCACTCCATTCTCCAGGTCTGAGTGCTGCTGGATGCAGTTGGTCAGGACTGCAGTGCTAGAAGAGTTCTCAGAATTACACATCTTCTCTGTCTCCTCTTCCTTTTTTTCTTCATCCAAGGAGTAGTTTCGGAAGGTCTCATAAATTTTACGCACATCCTCCGGGATGGTCTTTTTGAGGTCTTTGTTTTTCCTTTTGGTCATCTTAGCAGACGATCCAAACTTGTTGATGATGTTGTCCTCGGATGCCCCCTGCCCGTGCTTGTTGAGCTGATCTGACCCTTTAAGGCGCAGGTTGTTAGGCCTGTTGTTGATGCTTTCCTGAGATGAGGCCTTGAAGCGTCCTGTTTCCAAGGCAGTAAAGACAGAGCGCTTCTCTGGAGAGAGCATGTCTAAGGAGTGGGCTCGCTGGTCCAGGCCCAGGCGCCTGCGCTCCATGCTCCGGATGGTGGCTGCCCGCTGAAGTTTGTCGTGGATCTCCACGCTGAGCCGCCTCCGTGTCTCTCTGAACTCAGCCGTCACGTTCGCTTTCCACTCTGCTGCATGGGCTTTTATTTCTCCAACCTTTACCACAACAAGAAAGAGAAATGAATTTAAAAAAAAAATAAAATAAAAAATAAAAAAGAGAGAAGAAAAAGGAAAATGAAGCGACAGCCTTTCCTACAGAACAGCAACACAAGCACTTTCTTCTCTGGCATAAAATCAGAGAGCGGTCTCAGCTCCAGTGCATCCATCTGGACCCAAACTTCAGCAGCAAAGTGGTTATACTGGGCAAGCTCTAAACACACCAACTAATGACTAGCTAATGAGTTATGTGGTATATAACTTGTCTGCCTGTTTCACATTTTGCCACCCCACATATTTTATAGCTCTGTTACATGATGGGAGGTGCTCATGCTAATCCCTCCATGGTTAAGAACAAAATCTCTGACTTATAACATCAGCGGTAGATGGTCAGGAGCAGGCATGTACAGTTATGCCAATATGCTTCAGAACAGCACAACAACCAGTGCAGCAACACAATAATGTGTTCTCCTATATTGCTCGTGGATGGAGCTGCTCAGTCCCACTGAAGGTACTGTTCAGCACCGCAGAGCCACAGAGCAATTAACACTGGAAATACCTTTTAGATAATTTCAAGTGGACTTCTGACTGATCCAGTCTAGGGTTCATTCTCAGGGACATATGTAGCTGCCTTTAATGGAGGTTTCCACTGCAAACTGTCCAAATACCACTCTCTCAAGGCAGCTGGAGGAGTTTTCAACATATACTCTGTGTGGGCACCACGAGCATATCCTTAAATGTATCACTGCTTTGCTCTGTTCCACTCCTTTGCAGCTGAGAGCAGAATAATGGCTAAGAACAAAGCACCTACATGGCTGCTGTATTGAATAAATATTTCTTCTGAAATGAGAAAAAAGAAGATAAATGGCCAAGCCATATCTCAGTTAACATAGGCCTTTTCCAAAGCTCAGCTAAAGGAGAACAGATTCAAGAGTATGGTCTGCAGGAGCCCACCCAGGTCAACGGTTTGCTTGGGCTGCTGTAGCCAGAACTCAGTTTCTGCATTCAGTGATCCACAAGGAAGTCATCTTTGGTTCCTCGGGCCAGATGAGCAGGTGTCTGTTTGGAACTTGCAGCAGCAGGCATCTCATATCCACCATGAGAGATCAGCTTCCCACCTATAGGTGCCTGCTGATGATCAGCCTGACAGCCAAACTCTGTGAAGCCCCCTTTATTAATGGAGATGCACAGGGGATGCACTGGGCCTCAGGTAGCGCAGATGCCTTCATAAATGATAAACTGCCAAACTTTGTCTATGCCTGCTCTTTGGCTAACCCTGCCAGGTTATCTTTGCTAGTAATGCAGGAGGAGATTGCCTTAAAAATTGCAATTATATTTTTAAAGTCCTCCACAATAGGCTTCAGTTCTAGAGTCATGGAAATAGCCTTCTATTTCCCATCCTTATTTGAGTGAAGCATTAGCAATACTGTGTTTGAATCACAGAGGGCATGTTCTGAGTGAATTTAAACATGTTCTCCCTGATGATGACTACTCATTTTCTTCAATTTTTAACAATGTGGTACTCAGTAAGGGGCCTGAATTTAAACCTTTATTCAGAACCATGTCCCCTGGCATAGGGAAAGGTGGAAAAACTCAATGTAAAACCCCAGTTTAAAGACAGTTTCTTGTTTCATAATGAAGAGAGACAACTAATGTCTTCAAAACCCATGCATCTCCAATTTTTAGAGACAACACTGAAATTATCACAATTTTGTAGCTAGTTTCAGAATGAAGTCTGGCCTCTCCTATTCCATAATTGCATTCCTACTGATGTGTTACGTGCATTTGGTAGTGCTGATAAGAGGTGTAACAACCTAGGTCGCTTCAGTTGCTTTTTTCCTCCCTTTGTGAAAGAGCTAAAGATCAGAGCTAACTGGCAGTCATTGCAGTAAACCATGGGGAATACTGAGCATGGGTCATGCAGAGGAGCATCCTTTTTTAGACAAGCAGGAATCAGGCACTTAAATCTCTCCTATAAAATGACAAACCACTGAGAAATTACTAGTCATACCTCTTCTTTTGTCTTCTTGGACAGGACTCTTAACCAGTCTCCAATCATACTCAGGACAGCAGCAAAATAGGCAAGGCCAACAAGGATCCAGAACCACACTAAGGGCTTATACCACTCCCGGTAATGGATGTCAGCATTTCCTCCTGAAATAAGCATATACTTACGCTTAGGAATCATGAGATGCCAAAATTATGACAAAATATCTGCAATTCTGAGAAATTCCTGAAAGTATTTCTTGACTCTTGCCAACACCACTGTAGTTCTAATAATAGATGAGAGGCCTGGCAGATGGAAGGAACAGAGTCTGTTCTTAATGTAAGACTCTTCAAAATTACCTATTGTTCTGCTGCTATGTGACCTGCCAGAGCAGCTAGTAAACACTTATTTATATTACTCATACTCTGAAGCAAGTCTGAAATTAGTGCTTTGATAATACTTGCATCAGCATGAACATATTTCCAAGAAAAAAGTTTAATACAGCTAGTCTTCCTTATTCTGAACTGCCTGCAGCCTGGTAGTTGAGACACTTTACAGTTCAACCCACACAGGTTATAGAGTTTCCAGATTTTTTTGTGTTTTAGCTACAGGATTGTGAGACCTACGTGCAGGAGAAAGCTTTGTCTTCCCCTCCAAATCAGGATATCTGACAGGAAGCCAAATGTGCATCAGCCCTGATAATAAGGATATACTGTCTGCTTGGTATCAGTTATAGGGGTACATTGTCTGGCCAGTGACTTGAGAGGAGGTATGGAACAAATGAAGCAACAAATATCCTACACGGTCTTCATGCATGTCTCAGGATGAGCTGGTAAAACAAGTATGCAAGACATTTGGCAAATCTAAAGGACTACGAAGAGCGTAAAACAAGTGCAGTAGCAGCCAGGCTGCTGCCTACCATAGTAGAATTAACTTTTCCAAAAGAAAGCAACCACAACCTCACTTTTGAGATTCCCAGTCCTATCCCAGTGCTACGTGCGCCGCAAGAATGACAGCCAGTGAGAGGCAGGCACAGCCCCAAGCTGAAAAGAGTGAGCAGCAAAGAGCCCGCACAACCCCATGGGCACAGCCACATCCCTCAGTGCAGGTGAACAAACACCACCTTGGTGGTACCTGTGTAAATCTCTGCCTGAAGAGCAAGCATATCAGGGGACTTGGGCAGAGGATTGCATAGTTCCTGGGCTCCAGCCATGGTTAGGCAGGAGCTAGACACCAACCTGTACCTCTGTATGACTACAGAGAGACTTTAAGATTTTCCCCCATTAAAATCACCAGACAACACAGTTTAACATTTCCCCCTGAGCTTTCTGCAACCTGAGACATTCCTATGACTCTTTAATTTTATCCAGACTCAGTATGAGTGTACATACAGTGTTTGAACATCCATTTGAGAATTGGCAGGGAACCAAATATTGGTTTTGACATTAATCTCTCCCCATAGACCACATGAATCACTCTCTTTTTTCCAGTCTTCAAGAGTGTGAAACAATAGGAGGTGGGGGTTGCTGTTGCTATGGAACAACGAGGCTCTTCTGATCATACGTGTCCCTGAGGAAGCTTGCTGTGAAACAGATTGTCTACCTCACAGAGTAATCAGGCGACTGAGAAAGTATGAGACCACTTTTTTCAGCCTATCGGATGTTCTGTTTTTTCAGGCTCCATCCACAATTGTATCCCCGACCGTAGTACAAAAACTTTCCCCGTTTGCCAAGAGCTGGGACACATTCTAGGTGGAATAGATTAGCACAGCTCCATTGATGCTGTTTTACCCAATACAATGTAGTATTTTTTTATTTCATGTTGAAGGGACAGAAATACTGAGAAATTAAAGTGACAGAAAATAAAAGTGACAGAAAATCTGTCACAAAACCAGCAATAAAACCCAAATCTCCTGGTGATCACCTGCCTTAAATTCTTATCATGAGATCACTTCTGAAGTTTTCTCATTCAGGGTCCTCCGCCTGATTTTTGAAAAATCCTGGTTGTTAGTAGCCACCCAGCTGTGGATTATATTCTCCTAATCATGTTGGATATGGAACAATATAATTTAATATTCAGAGCTTTTTTACTATTATATTATTAAATAAAACAATACTGAAGTCTGATATGCCTAAGCAAAATACTGTGAATTATTTTTATTTCACACTGTGATATCACAAAGACAGAATATCAGTGAGCTTCTCTTCACATTTAAGTGCTTAAAATGGACCAAGCACATGCAATCACTTCTGTATCTGAATGCTCATAAAACATTTCTTTTTCATATCTGGAGCTCTCTTTGTCCAGTGCCTCTGTCCTCATTCATGTCTCCTATGCCACTGTCATAAAAAAGGAGGATCAGAGTCTTCTCTACAAAAAGACTTGTCTGCAGCAAAGAAAACTTTATATATCCCTGTAGTTTCATTTGATCTCTTTATCTCATTCATATTTCACTGAATTATAGGAAGTAACAAAACAGCAGCATAATATGGCTGCTTTTAGCACAGGCATTTTAATGCCTTTATTTAGGACCACTAACAGGAATGAGGAGTAGAGGTCATGCACTAATGGGGAAAAAGAAATCAGCTTATTTTAACCACCTTTTCATTAGCAAAGCAGTTGTGTGAAAAAAAATCTCATCTCTCCAGCCAACAATGTTGACTCCCTCTTTGGAAATTGATAAGGATGGATATTTATAGTTCCTGCTAGTACTGTATTAATCCTGGAGAGTATTCTTCTAGCACTGAGATGCATACCCCAGCAGTCCTTCTCTTCCTACATAAGTTTTCCTTAACAGGGCAACTGCAATGTCAACATTCCTGCGAAGGTTAGAGAACAAAATGCAGTTTCTGAAATGCTGCAGCTCCTGTAGTAGCAGCTTACTACTGCATCCGACCAGAGATTTCTCCAGCCCTATGGCTCAGCCCTACTTTGTAAAAGTTTCATCCATTCATCATTTTGGCTACTTGCTTCTGCAGTCAGCCTCAGATTGAGCCCTAATGGACTAATACAAATCTTGAATTCAATGGGAAAGTCATTTGACTTGTGCATAATTCATTGCACGATAAAGGATAATCAGGACTTCCCAGGCTCCCCTTATCTCCACTGCTGAAAGCTTGCAATATGCAGATGGCAAGGCACCTGGATCTTAAATCAACCTGGTGTCTTATTGCACAGTAACCCCAATAGAAACACCTAGCATCATTTCACTGGAATATAATACATTGTGAAAAGCCTCCTCTCTACACCAGAAAATAAATTCTAAGAGCCAAGGCCCTCATGCACAGCACCTAAGCTCAAAGTTGCTCACCTGCTACAAAGTCACCGAAGCCAACAGTAGTCAGAGTGACAACCACAAAGTAGATGGACTCCAAGGCTGTCCATCCCTCGATGTGTTTGAAGATAACTGCAGGAATGGTCACAAAGACAATGCAGCCTGCCAGGATGAAGAGGATGGTAGAGATCACCCGGATCTTTGTTTGACTCACTTGCTTTTTCTAGAAAAAGGAAATAACAAAAGAAAAAAAAATTTTTTTAGTGGATTTCTGGGACTGTATACCTTGTGAATGGCAGACTGATCATGCTGCTGTCACCTGGAATGTCTCTTTTTGCCTTTTGTGAGCTTATTAGGTGGAATACAACCCTCCCTTCCCACTAGTGAGAGCCCTGCCTGGGTAATAGTGAACCTCTATGTCTGGCCCCAGAAAATTCCCATTTTCCATGCACTAGACAGTTACTAACCTACCAGAAACACAGCCTGGAAAAACAGTCCTGAGCTTCAGAAAGGCTCCAGTACACTCCAGTTTAGGTTCAATGTGTAAGAAAGTGCACATTCACACCTCCATACATCTATATGTACACCCACATTGCCTCACCAGCACCAAGCACTCAACAAGCAAGACCAAGACTAAAATTAAAAGAAACCCTTTTTTTTTTCTCTAAAAACCTGAGATTTTATGCAGAAATAATTCATGTTTTGGGTTTTCTAGACGCGGGATTTCCAGTTTTCATTCACAAATATGAAGGCTTAATCTCCTTTTCAAAAATAGGTAGTTATGTTATCAGTTTACTCCAGAAATAAAGAATTTATCTCAAATAACAAACAACCTGATACAAAATTACCTACGTAAATCCACACTGGAAAGCTCTTGAATAAAGAGTATGTGTGTTACTGGCTGCTGTGAACTGAATACAAATGAGATCAGTGTAATTGCAACATTTTACACTCCTAGTTCGTATAATTTCTCAATTTATTTAATATAAACTTAAATTTTGTTTCCAGTAATATTGATGAAAGCCTGGATTAACACAACTGACTGGCAGATTTCTTTCAGATTCTTCTCTACTGTAAATAAACTTGGAATTCAATAGAGTTTCATGAGAAACCTGGACATTACTAGAGATTGTACTGTGGATTAATTACAGTGGCAATGTAAATTCTGTATTTATCCTGGAAAAGGAATGTGGAGGTCACTGTAAGTCACATATTTCCAAATTAGTTTTCCATATCAAGCATCTCCCTTAACCCAGAAATGAGATCTCATTTCAGATTAGGACATTGCCTAGACAGGAAATGAGGTCTCAGAAGTTATCTTTATAATATACAGAAGGGATATTGCCTGAACTGGTTAATATCTAGACAGCTTGTGAGCAGTACTACTGCTTCCACTAAAGCATGAACATTTCTTTTAGAGGTGCAGTGTCAGACCCTCATTAGGCACTCGTCTGACCTGGGATGCTCTGCATTTACAACCCAGGTAGCAGCATAAATATGCTGTGTTTCATAAATACTTCTAGTCCTGGAACTGTTTGAGATGATCCCTACACTTAATTTTTTTGTTTTTGTGTGTGCGCATTGTTTTCTATGTCTGGCTGAAGAGAAATAGTTAAATGACATTAGTAATATAGTGCCATAAAGATTAATCAGATACAAGACATGGAAAAAACTGCCATTGAAGTACCAAGGAGAAAAACAACACAAGAATATGAAAACTGACTTGACTTCCTATTTCCTCTTTTTCTGGAGAGTCATTTTGAGCAGACTGCTCAAAATGATGACCTAGCTTCTTTAAGAGACATGGACACACATGACAACAGCAGGATTTCAGACTTATTGTATGTGTGGTGAAGGGAAAGCAACAGATCACATGGATGTCACATGGTGTTTTAGACTGGCACACTTGCCGTTTGTCATGGAGGATGAGGATTTAACCAAGTTGTTGTTTATTTACTAGTTTGGCCAGGGTGACTTGTTCACTTCCACTAAATGCTTCCATTTCCTGGTATGTAAAAATAAAATGGCAGCCACCTTGTTATAATGGAAGTTAGGAGGCACGTGCAGTGCTGTATAGTACTGGGAATCCTTGGACAAAAAGTACTTTGGAGCTGCCAAGCGCTACTAATACAGCAGTTATGCATAGTAATCCTTCCTCCAGTCCCCATACAGAAACATTAAAATGCATTTCAGTATGTGTGAGAATTGTCTTGTCTCATGGTAGAAACAGGAGCGGAGAGAATGGCCTGCAAATCAGTACCAAATGTTCAGGACACCACTTGTTCATGAGTGATAAATTCAGCCGAAGGTAGTTGGGTTTTTTAAGTAAAAATGGTAGCAACGCTAATGAGAGGATCCGCAGAAAGGCCTGACTCATGGTTATTGTGCACCTCAGTCACTCGCACAAAAGCGGAGCAGCTGAGGGTCTATTTCTTTTTTACTGTTCCACTGGCACAAATGAAGTCAGAAAGCAACGGTGAATCAGGGACAGCATTTTCAGATCTACTGAAAAGAGCACAAAAGCAAGACTCAGAAGTAGAATTACTTAATGGACAATAACACATGAAATCCAGGATACAGGTGAAAAGGGGGGTCTTTTTACAGTGAGATGTGCATTCACAGTAAAGTATAACTGCTACAGATCCAAAAAATGCTAAGGCATAAATGCCATTATTCATGGAATATGTACATTGTAGTAATCACACATTACAAAAAGGTTGTTTTGCATGGGTTTTTTTGTAGATGGAGTTGGACTTGCTATTTTACTACAGAGAACATAATTTTGTGCTGCCCAGGTTCTCAGGAATAAGGAAACACAGCCTTTACCTTCCAGTTTTGACACAGTTGTATCAAGGCAACACTAGATCAGCCTAAGCCACTGCAGTATTACACTATACCAACTTATTAAAATAAATAAATATATATATATATATATAACACAAGATAGATAGATGATGATAGATAAACACTAACGGTTGAGAAACCTGAAAAGGTTCATACAAACTTCTCTTTTAAATAATATTTGCAATCTGGAGCCAAACACTGGCAAATAGCTGAGCAACTCAGCCAGGCTAACACATTCTCTGAGTCCATTTTGTGGCATAAATACAGAATTTTCTAAAGGTGCCAAAAGGCAGCAGTAAGTGAGGCCTTTCCCCAGGAAAAGCAGTTAATCTCACAGTGGTTTAAGTGTGTTCGTTTTACTTTTAAAGGAGATGTTTTCTACTTTTTTTTTTCAGTTTTGTTTTACCAACAAGTTCTCTCCATATTGATGAAGCAGGTAATTTGTAAGACATTCATCAAATATAAATAAATTAGGGCCTGCTAATGAGAGAGGCTTCAATTTAAATCCACCTAGAGCTAATCTGGAAAAGATTAAAGGAGGAATCTAAGAAGAAAAAACCCGAGCGTTTTCTATGATATAACCACCTATGAGGGGTCATTTCCACTTACTAATGAAGGTCCTGATTTTACTCTTAAGGTGGCTAAGTGCTAAACAGTCAACATCAATGACATCATCTTGCTCACATTAACTCAACCAACCTACTGTCAGCCTGCTCTAGTGCCAAGAGGGGTGAGGGGATACATTCTCATGAAAACACCCTTATTAGTGGAATTTAGTTCTTATCCATCTTTTCCATCAATAATTGTGACCTCTCTTTTTCCTTATTTTCTATTTCATACATGGGGGTCTTATCGGTTTTGGTCTTATCCAACAAGTTCAGGAGCTAAAAGAAATCCCTTTTTTTTTTTTTTTTTTTTTTTCTTTTTCCCTTTTCTTTCTCTGTGGTCCTGCAGACCAAGGCTGATGAACTGGATTCTTTTACGGCTCCTGCCCTTTTTAGGTGAATTATCTCAGGCCCAATTTTTCTGACCTGACTGTTGACAACAAAAGGACTAAACTAGGTTCTTAATTTCCTAAGCTGAGACCACAGGGTTGATACACATTCCTTCAAAAGGGAGTAGGAGACGGGATCAAAAGATGCTATAGCCATTTATCAGACTAGACTAAATGCTAAATATATGGAACATATATACTTCCATGAATACCATATTTCAAATATGCTTATTCCAAGATTTTGTAGTGTCACCTCCCATTTCACAGACACTCCCCCAATATACAGTACTACTCAACCAAAAATAGCACTGGAACATTTGCTTCTTCACAGTGGGCTCAGATGGTTCCCCTGTCTTCCAAACATTTTCTTTTCTGAATTCCTGACAAATATTCCCAAGACTCCAAGCAAGTTGTTTACCTTTTTGGCTAGATGACCAATGTCATATTTTTAGTCCTTTAGTATAATGTGCCTGCATGGAACCATGCTGTCCTCATCTCTCCACAAGGCTCTGCATTTTGGAGCACTCCTCCAACGAAAACACATTTCTTTAACATTTCTTTTGTTCCCTTCACCTACTCTTAACTTAATGCCCTCTCCCATGCTGCCAACCATTCTTGGAACAGATTGTCTCTGCCCGTGCACTAATTAAACAGATTGTCTTCTAAATTACTTTCTCCAGATCAAATATTTTAACAAGAGGAAAGACAGTCTTTGTACTCAAAGCATAAAACAGAATAACACATATAACGGTTCTATTTTTTTCTCTGCCACAATCATCAGGTATGTCCTTAGTCAAAACCTTTTTGCCAGGCTAGTGTAGACAGTGCAGATAGTCACAGGTGCACACTGCTGCCTTTCAGCTCAGTCAAATGCAAGCCAGCCCTGCTCCAGAGCCTGGCCCATACCTCAGTAGGGCGTGATGCCCATCTCAACAGGCTGCATGGAAAGACTGGCATAGCACTGGGCTCAAAGTCTCCTCGGTGATCAGCACTGCTGCCTATACCTGTCACTGTGGATTTCTTTCTAACATGTCCTAGCTCCTTCACATTCAAAATGAGCCTGAACTAAATGTATTTTAAATATCACTGGCTTAGAACATCTAAGAAGAATATAACAATCTTTTGTTCTTCTGTGTTCTCTGAACACAGCTGGTTCCAGCTGGCTCCAACAGACCCACTGCAGGTCACTGATGAGCCCCTCAGAAAAGATGGTGGCACCTCTGGGAAAGCGTATTTAAGAAAGGGCAGAAACACTGGACAGGCAGAGGAGGAAGGAATGAGGGTCAGGGGAGTAGGAGGTGCCCCATGGCAAAGCAGGTACTTCCCTGGAGGGGCTGCAGCCCATGGAGGACCAGTGAAGGATCAGAGGAAGAGGGTTGAGAAAG